CCCATATCCCATGTTGAAGTGTCCCTGAGCAAGACACCTGACCCCTAATTGCTCCCCGGGCAAAAATGTAATGTAAGTCGTTTTGGATAAAAGCATCAGCTAAATGACCTGTGATGTGTCTGTCTTTATGATACAATGGCGGGGTCAAAAGGGAAAGTGGAAACAAATTGGGGAGAGGGTTGTGATGTGAAAAGTAAAAAACTGTGTTACCCTCTCTACCCATTGAGCCACGGCCACATACGGACTTGTTGGTTTGTGACTGTGCTTGTGTTACTAGGGACAGCATGTAACACGTTTATTTAAGCTGTTATTGTTGTATCCGAGCTCCCTTGAACACAACAGACACTTCCCCTTTGAAAATACCAGAAATAAGAAGAAAGACAAGCAATACGCAGTGTCAGATTTATTTACAATATATTATGCTAGTTATTAGTAACATATTACTATGTGCATACCTTATTGTGAGAGATCAGCTCAAAATGTCCCCAGACAGGAGAAAATCTCTTTCCTGTTGGTTCCATCACAGAAAAAAGAAGCTCGAATAGTTTGTAAACAAGCGCGCAATGAAGTCTGAAGTACACAAAATGTATGAGTCCTTTTATTTTCAATCGTGCTCCAGACCCATGAACCATGTCCTGAATCAGTCACGTGGTACGGCTGGTTCGCGAGGCTTCGAACGTCACCACATACGTCATCAACACGAGCCGCAATATGCGCTTCATCAAAATCTTCCTGGGTTAAAGGTCGCCGCATGTTTCTGCGTCTTTACGCGTCGACGCTCTGGTTTCACTTCCTGGTTGTAAAGTCTTGCGTGTGTTGCAGAGCGATTCACCTCCAGAACAACAGGTGGAGTCACGTGTTTGAAGACGACCTAGAGAGTCACGTCTTTGTGTGTGGAAGTCGCTGGTTGCTTTATTTATGTATCATAGACTTTATTGCCCCGTGCATCCACACTGCTGCTTTTCATCAAGGACACATTTGTCCCGTATTTTCCTCCACGACTTTGTTCCCCTCGTTTGTGGAGATCTCCCTCCATGAATCAGAGGCCATCCGGCGTCCTCATCGTCCGCCAATGACGGCTTGTACAAGCGCTCATATTTAAAAGCTCTTCAGTCTGATCCGTTCTCTCGTAAACGTTCTTCCTTTTAATAACGGCCGTATTGTGCTGTGAAAACGGAGACGTGAGACTCCGTAAAGGACGTAGTCAGCAGACCAATCACGGCTGCGTAGCTTCTGACGCTAGTCATGGCGTCTTGCGTGTCCCCTGGGTGTCCTTGCGTCTCTCTGAAAACCCAGCAGCATAAACTCGACTTTACTCGACAGAAGCTTCGAAGCCTCGACGCTAACGTCACATCAGTAGGTGATAAGCGAGCGTACGAGCGTTTATCCTCCACTACAGGAGTGATGAACTCATCCAGCAGCTCAAACCAACCTGTTTTTGTGTTGCTATGGTGATTTTTCTAAACTTCGGGAATGGAAAAGCCCGATTTACGTCATCTTACCCTGAAAATTATCCGGCTAACTCAGTTAGCCACGCACGAGGAAAAGGGCCCTGATTTAAACACCTCACCGCCACGGGTTAAAGGAGTGTTAAATATGATAGATTATAAATTATAGATGGAATGGAAAATAATTGATATAGAAATTAGCAAGTGATTCTTTTGAACTAAAAGTATGATTATTTGTAAAATGATTGTTGGTGATAATCCAGCTCTGAATCATCCTCTCCAGTTTATAATAGAGAAACAATAGCAAACATGAAGCTTCCTGTGGTCACTACACAGGAGCCCAAACACTGCTGTGTTTCTCCTAGTAACCACGGCGACAGCAGCGGATCCTCCTATGATGCAGTGCATGGTTGCTAATTGGGCCCATTAGTGAAGGCGGTCTGAGCCTCCAGAGCGTCCAAATGTCCACAGACTCCCCCGGGACTCATTACTGTCCAACGATACAGTAAACATGTTGTAGTACGTATCCATGTCCACCCCAACAAGGACGATCAGCAGAGCTTTGACCTCCAGGAGGCCTCTGCAGGTGAGGTCGAGGGGGGTTTTAAACTTCAGCAAGTTCAGAGTTACAAAAATACTACCTGAAATCAGCAGTTCATTCATACTGGAAACATAACACGTTGTATACAGGAATCAGGAAACATTTATTAGCCAAAATATGTCAAACATACAAGGAATTTGTCTTGGCGGTTAGTGCGCGACAGTAGACAGACAAGACAACAGTGCACAAGTAATAAAATAAAGTGGAATGAAATGCTAATGCAATGGGTTAGTAGAATAAGGCTATGGGTTACTATAAAACAAGGGAATAAAGTTAAACATTTTTATTAAAAAAGTTAAAAAGAAAAATACTAAGCATAAAGTGCACTAACTGTCAGGGTTGCGGGGTGGAAGGCAGGACTCAAACGCAGACTTGCAGAAAACCAAAAGACTTTAATAGTCAAAGCTCAAAAAACAGGAACCGGGGGCAAAAGCACACAGACGAGAAACTACGGCGATCCAAGACGAAAGACAATGACGCGACAAGTGACACAGGAGACACACTGCTTAAATACACAAGGGAGGTGCAGGTGATTGGACACAGGTGGAAACTATTAGAGGAACACAGGGGATGACGAGACAAGGCAGGAAGTGAAGTTACCCGGGGACACGAGTGGCAGAAAACTACAAAATAAGACAGGAAGTGAACCACACCGTGACAGTACCCCCCCCTCAAGGGCCGACTTCCAGGCGGCTCACACTAGAGCGAAACAAGGGGAGGGGGGGGAGGGAAACCCGAGACGTTGGTCGGACCACCCGGGAAACTCTGGCGGGCGGCCCGGCGGGCGGCCAGACGAGCGGGGAGCCTCTGGGGGTCGGCCCGGCGGGCGGTCCTTTCGCCGGCTCCGGAGCGGTGACCACAGGGCACGGAACGTCTCAGGAATGGCAGGCTCTGAG